CGATATTCCGAGTGTTTCCTATGTACATGGAGTTTGTTATCCATGTTTTGAAATTTAGCAATTTTTTGAAGAAGTTATCAATGGTTCAAGAACACCACCGACGTTAATAGACAAAAAACGATTGTTTCTTGGTTACCAAAGCTATTTGTTCCTCAATTATGACGAAGAAAACTGTTAATTTCAAAATAGCTGTATGGAGGAAAGTGTTCATATGTAACCTTTAAACCGTTCATATTTCTATAAATGGTATGAAGGATTTGATATATTTCTGTACTTTTAAAATTTCAGAATGATGAACATGTTGGTTTTTATTCTATGTCACAATTCTTAATTGTAAGATATACCGTTTTGACAAATATCAGTTATTGTGTGTGTGCTTTAATGATAAATCCTTTCTGATGAAGAATTCGTTGGAACCTACGAATGGGGGCGGAGGGGGTGCGCGATGGGGATTGAATGCTTGGAAGAATAGAAATCACATCACTAGAATAGTTCATGAACTGTTGGATAAGGATAACATTACTACCTCACAATATATAGGAACCAAAATATCGATGTAAAGAACTGGTTGATAACCCGACATTATTTACTTGGATTGACCAAGATTTTTCTGGTGATGTCAACGTTGAAGTAGACGAGATTTTGACCCTTCAAGCACCTGCTATATATATGCCCCCGCCACCCTCCGTCAGTTTAAATTATGGAATACTTTAACTCAAATTCTTTAAAAATTATCATATTCTAGGAATTATGATTGATGCTTTCAATGTCTAGAATGATGTCCTCTGTGAACCTTACGGCAATATTAGCATTTTTTTTCCATTACATATCTACATTAATATTTTAAAGTCAAGAAATAAGAATGTGGTTTTGTTCGAAACTCATATATGTACTTTTGGAAGTCACACGTATATCAATTCTAAACCGTTCATGCACACACGACAGAAATGTAATATCTGTCACGTCACTTAGTGCAGAATTAATACAGATAAACTTCACAACAGTGTTGGCATCAATTGTAACTACTGGAACCAGAAACGAAGCCGAATGAAAAACATCAGTAGAAAAATAAGCTCATCTTTTTATATACTAGTTATAGACGTAGTAACAATTTTATGTAAAGTGCTTGTCAAATTTCGTATATCTAATTTGATTCTACTGCCGGTATGGTGACCATTTAGTGTAACGGACGACAAACTTCGTAAAAATCAAATCTGATTCTACTGCCGGTATGGTGACCCTTTAGTGTACCGTATGACAAATTTCGTAAAAATCAAATCTGATTCTACTGCCGGTAGGGTGACCCTTTAGTGTAACGTATGACAAATTTCGTAAGAATCAAATCTGATTCTACTGCCGGTATGGTGACCATTTTGTGTAACGTATGACAAATTTCGTAAAAATCAAATCTGATTCTACTGCCGGTATGGTGACCATTTTGTGTAACGTATGACAAATTACATATCAAGCGTCTGATAAGACGGTTTCTATGGTAAAAATACTGTCTTACATATATCGTTTAGTCATTATACCCAAAATTACACTAAAATATATAGTTGTAAGAAACCTGAATGTCCCCAAAATGTATTTTCTGTTCTATCGTTGACATGAAGACGTCATTTCATAATTCCTATTTCTCATAGACGTTTCCTTGTATTATATCAAACAAAACAAAGAACATTTGTAAAACGAGGGCCTTTGAATATGGTGAGTGAATGCCCGTATACCAGAGGTCTATAAAAGCTCTGATTCAAGAGTCTAAATCTTAAAGATCCCTGTCTGTAGAAAATAAAGAAAGTGCATTAAAAAGGATCTTACTCTGCTCTCTAGACTGGTCCCACTCTCTAGAATATTCAAATTATGTCAATTTGATAAAGATTGTATAATGTATTACATACATCTGATTCTAAACTATTATCCCCAGTATAGGGAAATCAGCTTATAGACAAATGCAAATTTTATTAATTAACGTTGGAGCTTGTAGCAAGTATGTCTAGTCTGGTGTAAATGCGTATTTCAGCGTGGAGTTTTCAAACATTACTCAATGAAGATGTGCCCAACAGAAAAAAATCAAGATAATTTTCTTATTCGGACATATAATTTCTTTTCATTTCTAAAGTTAAAAACATTTAATTAACATTGAACGTTATTGTATAAACGATAAATGTAACAACAAGAAAATACCAACATGCCAATATTATCATAATCCTCACCCAAATTCAATAAAACTCGGACAAAAAATAAACAAAAGAACGATTTGCAAGGAGGCTCTATGAAAGGACAAGGAGAATAAAACCAGGTGTTCTGGGAAAGCAAGCGTCTTCTTCTTCATCGACGACATCCATCATGTAAATCTTGGTAGTTGGTAGTATTGTGGGTGGAGTGTTTATATAAACGTTGGTAGTATTGTGTGTGGAGTGTTTATATAAACGTTGGTAGTATTGTGTGTGGAGTGTTTATATAAACGTTGGTAGTATTATGTGTGTATATAGTAGTAGGCAGTATTATATGTGTAGTGTTTATATAAATGTAGGCAGTATAATATGTGCAGTGTTTATATAAATGTAGGCAGTATAATATGTGCAGTGTTTATATAAATGTAGGCAGTATAATATGTGCAGTGTTTATATAAATGTAGGCAGTATTATGTGTGTAGTGTTTAAATATATATAGGCAGTATTATGTGTGGGGTGTTTATATAAATGTAGACAGTATTATGTGTGTAGTGTTTATATAAATGTAGGCAGTGTTATGTGTGGAGTGTTTATATTAATGTTAAGCAGCATGATATCAAGGAATTAGAGACAATATCATGTATGTAGTGTTGATATAAACGTAATCCTATATTTAAGAATTAGAAGTAATATTTTGTGTGTAGTAATTGTTCTAGTTCTACATGTGGATCGTTTGAACAGGATTCTTTGATCATGATTTATAGACAAAACTAACTACTTGTGTGGTATGAATATTCAGGTTATTACAATAGGGGTTAATAACTCCACTGTTGTTGTAAACTAATCGATGGCCATTATCTTATGTTACATTAATGTTAATTATCACAATAGGACACGTTACTAAAATAGTTACTGTAACAATTAAGCACAGGCGATACCATTCTTTTGATTTATCCCTAACACTTTACTTCAGTATATCTCATTTTTCAAGATCTTAATGACCAATAAAATCGAACTTACTGCTTTAAACTGATGCACAGAATCATACTGTCCATCCATATATGTGACGATTCCATAAAGCTGACAAGTCCAATAAAATTACTGTTATTGCAGACTTTTTAAACCCTGTCTGTACGAAATGCGCTGAAATCTGTTCAAGCTAACAACACACCATATTTCAATGCGTAAATATCTCTGTAATTTCCTACAGTTATTCCAAACCTATTGAATTCAAACGTTCCAACTACATACAAATGACCCAAGAACTACTCCTACGACATTTTATTCTTGCCTTACTTCTACTTACAACTAAGGCACAACTGGCGAATTAAGCATTATCCAAAATGTAAAGCTACCAGGGCTTTTCATGAAGGGTTATATCTATAGGCATACCTATGGAAACTGTCTTTGGCCTTCTATTGGCTGACTTGTTTTGATTTCATACGAGGCTGAATTCATTGAAGATCGTATCGAAACAGGTCAAAAAGACCTTACAAAGTCCTCTCAGATGTATTGATTGTCATATATATGTCTTGTCTTTAAATAACAAGAGATTTATTGACCACGTCCATCGTATATACAAATCAGAAATGGAAATCAAAGTCACGACAAACTCGTCTAAATCAGCCGCTTATTCCTACAACGAAACCTGTATGGACAGCTTTCCATCAAGCTAAGCGTGATAATTTTTAATTTCCATATCGTAAATGTTGCATTTAGGAATAATAACAGCCGTGCATCCCCAACCTGTGGTGACTACATATCGCATTTGATTTGATATTCATGGGACTGCTCCCAATATCACAATTGGAGAGCAAGATTTCCTCAACGAACTCGTAACACAGGGTTTCAAGAGATGCATATTGAGAAAAACTACATGTATAGGGAAATTATACGTTTGTCGTAGTGGCCTCATATGTCTTTTTTTGCGATTTTAATCATCGTAAGTTTGCCTGTTGATTCAGCCGTTGAATACCTTGTTGACATTTAAAAACATGGCATTACTTATGTCTGATTGACCAGATTTGAATGGCAAGTGTCGTCAATGAAGCAGAAGACATTTGCTCTTCCAGAACGTATTGTTCTTAATTTCTTTGTACTTTTTCAGGAGTCTAATTGTCAATCTTTCTTTTGTTTATATTTCCACTTGTTTATCAAATCCTGGAGACTGAAGAATGATTAGATTCACATGTTGATATTTATTTTTTTGAAATGTTATACTGTCATTAGATGTTTAGGTACGTAAGACTATTGTGTATCTTACATTTATGATTTAAGTCAAAAAGAGTATCGAGATGACAACGAAGCCAGTCTTATCCGATGATGGTACATACGTATTTTAACTCATCACATATTAGCGTTCCAACCATGACTTAATTTCCATAAAATGATCGTTTCTAAAAATAGTTTTTTTTTTTCAAATTACATTATCATATGGTCTACACTGTAATATATTGATTTTTGATCACATATAACTTGTATATACAAGCGTGATACTACTATAAAATGGTTGCATGTTGGGCGTTATTAGTATTCCTATAATTGACAAATAACCAGAAACTTGCATTAATGACAATCTGCTAACTAAACAGATTGTGCTCTGTTACCGATACTGTATTGACATACGCCCTACAAACAACTTCTCGTCAGTTAGTACTGACTCCTCATTGTAATAGGCTTAGTTATACCATATACAGGAATTAAATGGGTGGTCTGAAGAAAAGCACGATATGACCAAAAAGTATAAAAACAAGGAAACCGCAAACAGTCGCTAGTATCTCTTTGGTAATTGACATCTTTGTTATAGACCAGAGTACTCCATTCATCATGGTTGTGGGAGTGACGGAGTTGGCGCCGCTGAACACCACCCATCTGTATGACACATTCGACTACTACATCCATCCCCACTGGAAGCAGTTTCCACCTGTATCCGACACATGGCACTACTTCATCGGTCTCTTCATCACAGTGGTTGGTATCAGCGGTGTGATTGGTAACATAGTGGTCATTTCGATCTTCACTACTACCAAGACGCTCAAGTCCCCTTCCAACATGTTGATCGTTAATCTCGCTCTAAGTGATCTCACCTTTTCGGCTGTCAACGGGTTTCCTCTATTGACTGTATCTGCTTTCAATACTAGATGGGTGTTTGGAGATGTCGCCTGTCAATTTTACGGGTTTATAGGCGGTATATTCGGACTCATGTCTATCAATACATTGGCTATGATTTCAATTGATCGCTGTATTTGCATTACCAGACCGCTCCAAGCTGCACGGATTATGACTCGAAAGACAGCTTTCATGATGATCGTCGTTGTTTGGGTATGGGCAGTTGGATGGTCACTGTTGCCGTTATTCGGTCTTGGGGCGTACATTCCAGAGGGTTTCCAGACATCTTGCACATTCGACTATTTGACCAAAAGCACCTCAAACAGAATATACATCGTAGGCATGTACGTCTTTGCCTTCGCCTTACCACTATTGTTGATCGTTGGATCATATATTATGATTATTGGTGCCATCAGAAAGCATGCTAGAGAAATGGCAAGCATGGCCGATAAGCTCAACGCCGAAGAAGCAGAAAAGCAGGAAAGAACGAAAGCGGAGATCAAAATCACCAAAATTGCCATGACGCTCATCTCGCTGTTCATTCTTTCGTGGAGTCCATATGCCACAATTGCCTTAATGGCGCAATTTGGGAATCCCAGTTTTGTCACTCCATTGATGGCAGAAATGCCCGTTATGTTGGCTAAGGCCTCTGCTATGCACAATCCGATTGTGTATGCACTCAGCCATCCGAAATTCCGTGCCGCTTTAAATGAGAAAGCACCTTGTTTCCTCAACTGTTGCAAACCAAAACCAAAGCCACCAGCAGAACCTCCATCAAAGGCCCCGGTTGGACGATCCGCCAGTGAATGCAGTGCATCCACAGTTGCAAGTTCCTACGGACCAGGGTACGAAATGCAACCGACCATGAACCAAGGAGTAAACTCAGGTGAACTTGTCAAGGAACTGGTGGGTGCTATTGTCTCAATGGCTAACAACCAACCAAAAACTGTCCAACCTGTTTTCATCCCAGGTGCCGGAAGTGCTCCCGCAACTCCTGTTGCTGTTCCTGCGACCCCAGTGCCAACGGCCGAACAAGTGCAAACCACATCTGCAGTCATCGAAAAGGCAACAAAAGAACTTAAAGCGTAATACGGATAAATAGCTCATCAAAGAATGTCCAATTATCGAATGAGGATACTCAAGTCTACACTCTTAACACCTATCCGTTCCAGGGATTCAGCAGAATGTAGACAATACCGCTACGGATTTAGTGAAAATGTAGAATTGAAAACATCGAGACGAAGGAAGGTTCTGTGTTTATCATAAACAGCATTTCTAATATGCAACCGCAGCGAATTAATTGTGCTTTGTATGGATGTCGGGTAAGAATGGATAAATACCAGCCTTCAGTGCAAAGAAGGACGACGACATAAAGAAAAAGAAGGACAGACAATTCCCGTGCACTCTGCAAGTATTATCAGTTTGTTTGGATGTATCACGTGATATTAAGAACACTGAAACTGTTGTTTCTATAAATGGAATGATGCATATTGAAAAGCTACGTTAGTATTAACTTTTTTTCTAAAATTCTTCTGACTTTTGCACCAATTGTTCCCGCTCAGTAACGTTGTATCGTCGATTATTCGCACGTGTCTTCTTTAGTAACTTACATCGGGAAATAAATATGTCTTTCTTCATTCTAGGGTTGTATAGTTTGTCTCTAAATTACACTGATTTAGCTTTTGTTCGATGGTGCATTTATTCTTTTTTTGCACCTCGCTTTCTTCTAGATACCAGAACAAAGACATCGTCATTGATCTGTTACAAAAGTACGTACTTCCTTTTTGTCCACAACAAGAATATCTACGATAGGCCAACATTGTTCACACCTTATATCTACAAATACTAACCGAACAACCACCTTATACATAGTTCCTGCATGTAACCAAACATACTAGTTTTATTTAATAGACTTATGTTTCTCAGCGGCATCGAATGTCAAACATAGACGAAATAGCGTTTTTCTTTGATAAAAGTGGGTCACAATTAAGAACATTTAGTATGTTTTCCAAATGCATAATACTGATTTACAAATAACTTATCTATAAAAAAAAAATCAAATATATGTTTTTCTTCTCTATAACTAATAAGTATGTTTTCCAAATGCATAATACTGATTTACACTTATTAATGTAAAGAAAATAACGTATCTATAAAAAAACAAATATATGTTTTTCTTCTCTATAACTAATAAGTATGTTACATTGTGTCGTATCATAATTCCTTCAACATTTAGATTGGTATAGTTTCGCACTTAAATGATTTGATAGAAGTTTCCTTCTATATTTAATGTCAAGTCATATCATCTTAAAAGGGATGCATATTTTACAGAGAACTGATGAGCAGTGAAATGAAGGTATGTGAGTTTTATTTGGATTTTGTGTTTGATTAATATCTTGATAGAATATGCTTTTAGACGGTCGTCAGATAGTATTTATAGCTTGTACCTGTCGTTGGAGAGGTCAGAGGGGCGCCAACCCATTTTACCGAATGATAATATAATAGTATATAAATAAGCTGCTTTAGGAATCTGGGACAGACGTGTTGTCCGATATTTGTCCTACATACTATACAGTACTAACAAGTTCTATTTCATTTGATTCTCTGTCAGCATGTCGAAGTTAAATTAGGTTTGACAAATTGATTTTTATGTATAAAAGACAAGACGACATATTATAAATAGGTTTTTGTCACTCATACTAACAAACTCACACAACATTCTATCGGAAAAAGATTGATTCGACCAACGATTAAAGTGACACAAACATTTCATATATAAAACAATGTTAAGTATACGTTTAAAAAAAGATTTTTTATAGCATAAAAAGGCTTAATTAATGCCTTGTTCAGGTAAAACTATTTGATGTTGATTTTATGGTGCTTTTCATGTCAAGTTACATTCTATACCGGCAGATGTTTCAACGTTCAATGTCAGATATACCGGGTTCACATGTACCATCGAAAGTTCAGGTATGATTGATTACGTATGGTGTAATCAAAACTAACCGTTTACTGTACAAAATTTAACAGCCAATATGATTTATGTAAAACGATTCTGCCGACTTTACGTTTTTCCGTTAAAAATTTGCAAATTAAATTTAGGCAACAAACAAAAATAACTGTACCTTTAGTAAATATGTTAATTTAACAAGAAATGTACTCCAATTAGTGACTGTGGTATAATTCGATATCCACAACTTCAGATAAAGTTCTGAAGATGAGTTTCATATACATATCAGGAATGTATTACCATTATTTCACTGATCTTTTCATATCTGCCGGGTTGTTAGGAAACTCGGATCGCTGAGAGTAGAGTAGGTATATTTCCTTATAATCATTGAGCGAGTTGTAATTACTAGCGTATCATGTTATTACAATGTTCAAACAGAGCTTGCGAAATACAAGAGATCACATTTACATAATCAAAGCTTTCTCAATCCATTTGTGTGGTAATTTATAATACAAAAAATGATCGATGATGGGCAATCGTACAAACAAGAAATGGTAATGTTAATCATGTCAAATTGAAGTTTAACACAGCATTGTCTAGTCGTACAGCAGGAATAAAAAATAAGTATTTCACAGAAGCATTAGAATACATTTACAAAATACTAGATTATCGTACCTTTTTGTTACGTCGTGCCGTCGATTTCTTGATATATCACATTGCTGGCAATAAAATCTCCATTCCTTGTGTTGAGGTACAAATGTTATCGATAAAATGGTAATGATTTACAAGCAAAAAATCTAAACCATTAATCACACTGGTTAATCTGCCAGTTTTTCATGGAGTGACAGCCTACCGATCAGACAAGTAATTCCATGCCTTTGTCTAGAAATCGATCCACGATACCTATCATTAATTGCTTGTCCTATATCTATTCTTTGTATCGCCGATTTTTCTCAACGATCGTTCTTCCACGCTAATTACAAATAAATATTTTTTTTCATTCAACATTTTAAAACAAATCTACTAAAGTGACATTTATCTTAATGTATTCTGCGAGAATGGAGAAACTTTTTTACAGCAGATTGTTTTGCACTTTTTGCCTTCAACTTAAGCCAGTGTGATAGGCATGGCTTGAATCAATCATTAGACACATAACACTAATTTGTAAGTCTGCCAAAAAATTATGCCAATATTGAATATGCATGAAAAAGGAGGGAAAGACGGGCAACTCGTAATATCCGCTAAAAATTGACGACGTGCAGATGTTGTGACACATAAAAATGTCACTTCTGGTTGATACTGATATAACAGTTATTTGATATTAAACCTCACATTTGCCTTAATTAACTACTTTATACACAGTAGTCACGAAGGTAAATTCCTAATCTATCGAATTTTATAAAAATGTCTTTTAAAAAGTGATGTTTACCGCAATTGACATACTTAGTGAAACTCGGAAGGAACTGAGCAGATTTAAAACCTTAAGCATGAGATAAATTATGGTAAAATAAAACACTAGATATATCTCATGATATATAGAGCTAAACGAAATAGCATCTACTAGTAGAGGTTTATATAAACGAATTCACGGTATCTTTCAGAAAATAAACATGGAATGTTCTAATTTATTCCAATAATGGCATGGTTCACGATGTTGTGAAACTGTCTAATATATATAAATTACGAAATTAATCTAATTATGGTGCTGTTGCACCATCTCGACTAGATTTTGACTTTTCTTTCTATCACTTTGGACTGTCCTCAGTCACCTTCTAGGCTTCAAAATTAGGTCCTTAGCATCACTGACGAATCCTAGAAGGACGAAACAGCTTATGATGTAGCATCACTGACGAGTCCTAGAAGGACGAAACAGCTGTATGATGCAGTTAAATCAATTGTTTGGGCTCTACTGTATCTGACTCTAAATCATAAAAAGGTGTTATTCACTTGTGTATCTTTTGTACAATCATACGTTAGTGTGGTAATACATCAGATAATGCTACCGAGTATTAAATATAGTGTATAACCGAAATAAAGAAGACCTATCACGGAGCTGACTCCAACATCAAATCGCACTTCACTTCAGTCACATCCGGTTACAGATATATATAATCTCTAAGATATGTCTGTCTCCGTTAACATAATTATCAATTTAAAATGATATCATTTGGCCTCGGTGCAAGGGCATGCACTACAGAGTAGGACGAAATGTTGTAAATTCCAGGAAGATAAATCATCTGTTGGTATGTTGATATACCACTTTATTATACGTCATATGACACAATACATTAATTACGTTATAATTTTCATACTTCAATATGTCACTAACAATAGGATCTTTGTTTTTACTGTGATCGACTGTAAAAATTACTGTGCAACACCACACAAACAGATCAGTTTTATATCATGCTATATTAGTAATGTATCAATTAAATTAATATCAATTTAATTTCTCGCTTTGTAACAATTCATGTGATTGGTGTGTATGGAACACACACGCCCAATGATGACTGTCCTGTTATAAGACCATGGTACAATGGTTACCAATACCAGTTCTTGATATAAGAGATGTGATGTATATGTCTAAGGTTTCTGTTTCGTCTATTTGAAAAAGCTAGTAAACGAAAGTTTTTACCCACGAAATCAAATGCGTAAAGACATACCAGCTTTCCAGTTCCAACGTCATTATAATTATACCATTTTTTTTCTTTAGATCCGAACATTGGATAGTTTAAGAAGTGTTTATCACAATAACACCTATACAGGTAATACAGGATGTTCTACTTCGGCATGGAAGTATTAAAACATCAGTACTAAAGCATAATGAGACACTAATGTACCACTGTTATTAAGTATAACATTATACCAACAATGACTGTGGTAGATCTACAAGAAGTGGATACTAACAAAATATTTATATAATTTCTCTCAAATACATTAAGTCGTGTCAACATGACTTCAGGTGAAATATCAGGGCCGATATATCAAAACATATATTACAATTCATACCTGACTATATGTCGCACCTGACAGGTATCTCGTTAGGTTCCACTTTGATTGTTGTAATAAATTAATTATATGTATTTATTCTGCATAAGCATGCATAACTTGACCTTTCCTAGAACTGGTATCTGCCATA